CTGAGAAGTGTGTGTGTGGAAAGTGTATTTCATAAGGGGAGTAGAAAAAAATAAAAAGTCGCTTCTTTGTAGGACAGACAGTTCTGCAGGCTCAGGAGGGAAGTGGATTGCGTCAGAAAAAGTCCACGGAGCATCAAACTCCAAAGCCTGTCATCATTTCTCTGCAGAGACCTAAAAGCGTGTCCAACATCCACCTCAAGCAATTACGCACATTTAATTAGGATTAAGGCACAAGTGCATCGTTTTATCCTCGATTATCCAAACATACAAGGACTCCTACGCGTGCTTTAAACGGGCATCGCAGTGTGTTTACATCATCAGACCTTTTTGTAGCCTCATGTCCCAGACAAGAGCGGCTACATAAGCAGAGAGAGCAAGACTTCACGTTCGGCCTCCACGCAGAAAGCATACAGCCCTCAATGTGTATGACGGACAGAATGTAACGGTAATACTGAAGTTGCCATCGGCGTTTTGCAACTTTATTAATCTGTGGTGTGATGCCCCCTAGTGGCCACTTAAAAATGTCAGTGCTGAGCAGAGCCTCATAGCCCAGCTTCACCTTGGAATTCAGGCTTGAACAGATAGAGGACCAGCAGACCTCAGAATCGCCTCTGACGGTATCAACACATCGAGCACATGCATGGAAAAATGTCCATGTGACAGATGTGAGCATCAGGTGAAAATGGCAGCGTTTCAGATACTGTGATGTGGAAGCTGGCGTGTAAGAGAGGGAGGTGAGGCACACTGCCTGCTTGGAAAGCTGAAAATAGGCGCCGTGGCTCGTAGACGAGGCGGCTGGGTTACACAACACAGCTGCTCTGCTTTCATCCGCATTTCTATTTTTCATGCTCCGTCCTTGCAGAACAGCTGCATTACGCATAAACAAAGGAATCCATCGATCAACAGGCCTACGGTGTGGAAGTGTGATTCTGGTGATTCTGGTGATTCTGGGCCTGGAAAAGCAGGACATTGGGCTTAGAGGAATGTGACCCCCCCCCCCCACACACACACACACACAACCTGTGCGGCATCATTTACCGCAGCACCGTTGGACAGTTGCGGGGGCAGGAGCTCAACCAAACAAACAGCACGATATCCTGCGTGATGTCACAGGCGTTTTGATGCAGACAGCAACCAAGATCAATCTAATCAAGTTAACTGTCCAATCAGATGCTTCACAGCCACCTAAGCAAATAAAACCCAGTCTAGGTGTCTCTGTACAACAGGGAGCAGGAGAGTCACAAACTGCACTCCCTTCAGGCAGAAAACCCAGAAGTCTGACTCGTTAGAGTCATCTCAGGTAGGCTGATAGCATGGAAACGCTCTACCAATGGGTTTCGTCACAACTCGACACAATTTTTGAGATGCTCATCAAAGTCCTGAAGAATTTGCGTTAAGTCCGCTGGCCATTTGTGTCTAAATAATTGAAAATAAAATGAATGGCTACAGGCTGCCACCCCCACACCGTCGGTTAGTACACCTTTAAGTAATTCCGCGTAGTCTGTGTTCTCAGATAGCAGGAACCAGGTACCGTAGGTAACCCTGCACTGGGTCACACCAAAAGCCCCTGGATATAGAATTACAAGATTGGACAGGCCTGTCTGAAGAGCTTATCTAATAAGAGAAAAAGGAGCTCTTCTCAAGCCACAATGCCAGATTATCTTCTAACAATGCAAACATGTGAGCCCTAGCACGGGCTACAAATACAATACAGACAGAATATGCGATATCTAGTAATAATATATCTATGCAGAAGACATTGATACCAAACACAAGGTGGCTGCGGGAAGGATCGGTGTTCACAGGGTGGGGGGGTTGGGGGGGTATACACTCACTCAAAGAAGCTGTTAAGAGAAACGCAGACGGGCAAAGGGTGCCCATGTACGGCCAAGCACATTGATTTACCCTGATGTTCATCTATCCACAAGCTGAAGTGGTCAAATTAAGATTTCACTGAAGACACAACCAGCGCCGCTGATATTCAGTGAGCAGGTGGGATAAGAGAGCCGACCCCACCCACACCCTAATCCTAACCTCAGCCGCACCTTTGTGTTGCCCCACGACTCTCGTATTCACAGCACACAAGCACCAGGTACCTACTACTGAACTCTCTCCGGCGGGTCTGGGGCCTCCAAGGCCGCTTGTGGATCCAGCGCAGTCGACGGGACAGATCCATGGCCTCTCGGGGGCGCTAGAGCAAAGCAGTCAGCAACTCGCATCACCCCACAGGATGTCGTCTTCCGAGCCGGGCCCCCATCCCCAGGGAGCCGGGCCCGGGGCCGTGAAGCCTTTGAGGTCACCCCCTGCGGGGGCAGCGGTTTGGGCATGGAATGGAGAGCGGGCGACCCGTGCCTGGCCGGGAGGCGCAGCCGGGGCTGACGGTGAGAGCACAGGTCAGCACTCCCATCAGTGTGCCGCACCTGATCGGGGGCAGCACCAGGCAGAGTGTAACACAAGCCTTAATGGGAGGGGTGAGAGGACAGGGAGCTGCACGGGACGGGGGGGCGGGGGAGAGAAGGGGGAGGAGGAGGGGAGAGAGATAGAGGGGGGAGAGCTGGGAAAGAGGGCTGGAGAGAGAGAGAAAGGGGGGAGGGGCAGGGGTGCCTGAACGCACAGGGCACAGTCAGTCATGATCAGCTGAACACTATAAACATTATTAACAGATTATTCACATAGAGAGGCCTGCCTTACAGGCCTGCCATTAAGCCTTACATGCATTACAGGCCTGCCATTAAGCCTTACATGCATTACAGGCCTGCCATTAAGCTACATAATAACTTCCTCTTTCATATCAATAGCTCCTTATCCCTGCCAGAACCACAGAAGCCCAATCATTTAATAACTCATCAATTACAATATAAATTGTTTCCTCGACCTCGTGTAAAACATTTGGCCTCATTGTGCTGTATATTTGGTTTACCGCTGGTAATTGTCTGGAGATTGTCAGAAGTGCCAGGGACAGGATTCAGAGAGAATGGAAAACGACACTAGTGACCCCCAGTGGCCAATCAGGGCCAAGGCAGCCCTTCGAATCCTAGATGTCACAAAACAACTACAGATCATTTGTTTACATTCAACTTTTGCTTATTAACAGAGTTAACACACCAGTCATGTGATATATACCAACTGGAAGGATGACACTGGGAACAGAACAAACAGGAATTTAAATCACAACTGCCTTTCTGGGTCCCCTGTGCAGACAGGGAATGACCAACGGGAGTTAGTACTACTGCACTAACAGATTACAGATCACCAGGATGGCGTTACCAGCTTTCAGATCCTCCACCAACTGCACAAGCAGGCAGTTTATCAGAGGTGTGTGGTCTCTGTGCCCCCTTCGGTCAGCAAACCAACACCGCTTGGAACTTTCCCCATCACAGGTCATTCCAGATGGTTCCCCTGTGCAGATCGCCGATGGTGGAATGAGCTGCCAAATCACATCTGGTCATCAGACTCCCTCTCTACCTTAACAAACAGTGCTTTAATTTTTTTTAACGTAAATGAAACCTGAAATGCATCGAAATGACTCATCACTACAAGTTTTATTCTTGCTTATGCATTCATACTGTCCCTGTGAAATGCATTAAAACTCCGCTATTCATGGATTTGCTTCTTACACACATTTTACCTCTAGTGAGTAAAGTTTTGGCAGCAGCACAGTAACAAGTCAAAATACAAAAATACAGGACAGCAATCAAAGTGCCATATAGGAATATCTCAGCTGCCAGGAAAATGAATGTCTGGTGAGAGCTACTAATGAAACATTAGGGTTAACATTAAAGCTGATGGAAAAACATGACTTTTAGTGCAAAACTGACCCTTTATTAAACCGTTCGCTTTTTTCCAGTTAACCAGGTTAACGCTGAAGGAGATTGAGCAAGGTGCAAGGTGCAATTTGGACATAAGGAGGCGGGGCTTGGCTCCTGCAAGGTGCAATTTGGACATAAGGAGGCGGGGCTTGGCTCCTGC